CAGTACATTAACACTGCACTGAGAGAGAGAGGGGTTCATACAGACACACTGGACACTCCAGGACAGTAACACTGTAGGATGTACATTATTTCCTGTCTCCTCTCCTCTCTGTACATCCCTGATGCAGCTCAAGACCTGTACACGGAAGACACTACCATTCCTGCCGACATGATCCAACTCACGTCCGTTTCTTGGCGCCGTTGCCGGCTCTGCGGGTCTCCCCCGGGGTCTCTCTCTCCCTGGCCGCCGCCTTTCCGTTCTCTTTCCCCGCCGGGCCGTCCACGGGAGCCCCGGGCCCGGCGGCCTGCGGATCCCCGGCCTCGCCTGAGCCCCCGCGCCGCCTCCGCCGCGGCACGATCGGCTCCCGATCCGTGCTCGACCCGGCCCAGCGCTTCAGCTGCTCCCGCCGCTTGGCTTTGGCCGCGTCTGCCATTCCTCTCCCCCCCTTTCTCCCCCACGGCCTGTTTTTATTTTTCTTCCTGGATTATTCCCTCTATCTGTCAGGGAAGGGAAAAAAAACGGGGGACACACCCTCCTCCCCTCTCTCTCACTCTCTCCCCTCGTTTCCTTTTTCCGCCCTGATCGCTGACTCGCTGGCCGTAGGAGGCAGCATGCCGGGAAATGTAGTTTACTAGACTCGCGGCGGCCATCTTTCGCTCTTCCATTTGTAGTTCTACTTTTCTTAAAGCGGTGCTGGCCTGCTCGTTTCCGTGTCCATTGATCAAGTCATTTGCCATATTCCAGTACAGGAGAGCGGGACAGAGCCTGGACAGGAGACACCGGAGACCTCACACCCGCAGTAGAGAGGAGAGGACTGCAGGAAACCTATCTGGACGTGGAGAGAACACGCAGACTCCACACATACGGATACGGATATGGACACGGACAGCTCGATTATCTCCTTCATGGGCGTTACTGTAGTATTCCTTACCCGGCAGTGAAATGTTTTATGGTTACAACTGCTCTTTTTTTTAAATGAACTAAAGGAGGGAAATGTTTTAAGTCTTCACATTGTAAAAGAAACTTAGAAACATTCTCTAGGTGTTTAACGTAAAACAAAACAGTTAAAAAATCATAATAATTGGGTGAACAGTTTAATTGACACCTCAGGGAGGTCAGTGTAAAACAGTCCAGTGAGATCAGGGTAAAACACAGTACAGCGCAGTAAAGCCCAGTGAAATTAGGGTAAAACACAGTACAGCGTAGTAACGCCCAGTAAGATTAGGGTAAAACACAGTACAGTCTAGTAAAGTCCAGTGGGTTCAGGGTAAAACACAGTACAGCGCAGTAAAGCCCAGTGGGATCAGGGTAAAACACAGTACAGTCTAGTAAAGTCCAGTGAGATCAGGGTAAAACACAGTACAGTGCAGTACAGCCCAGTGAGATCAGGGTAAAACACAGTACAGCGCAGTAAAGCCCAGTGGGATCAGGATAAAACACAGTATAGTGCAGTAAAGCCCAGTGAGATCAGGATAAAACACAGTATAGTGCAGTAAAGCCCAGTGAGATCAGGGTAAAACACAGTACAGTGCAGTAAAGC